GAGGGGGAGGAAGGAAAGTCTGTCCCCTTCCCTGTTCCTGCCACTTTCCCCCCAGCCTTGAGGACCTCCCCCCACCACCACCCCCAGCATCCCATCCTTGGCCTTTGGCCCCTGCCCAGGATCTGGTCCCCTGCCTTGGCTTTAACACAGCCTTTCCCTATGGCCTGGGGCTCTTTCTCTCTGGGTGTTGGTTTCACCATCTAGGTTATAAATAGACAGTGTATTGGGCCTTTAGTTCTGATGTTCTGGGAGTCTGAAATTTCCCAAGTGTGCCTTCCGTAGACGGAAGCTAAAGAGGGTAGCTCTAATGGGGCATTTCAGCATCTGCCGAGTTATTCTGATCCCCATTTCACAGATGGTAAAGTTGGGGTTCACAAAGGCCCAGGGATCCACACGGGGCGGCCCAGTAAATCAGAGGCAGAGTCATGATTGGAAAATAAGCCTCAGGTCAGAATGCTCTTACCCAGAAGGCGGCGGGCCCTCTTCCCTAGTAGCGCTCCTCAGACACGGCAGCAAGCGGGGTCCCTCTCATGAACTGTCGCCCCCCATATGCAGGGTGCTGAATGCTTGCACGCTGGCCCTTCTACCTTCTCCAGCCTCAGCCTGCTCCTCTGTCGGATGGATGTGTAAGCCCTCTGCCTCCCTCAGAGCTAATGGATGGAGAGGTGTCTCACTGGCCTCAAAGCTCTGTGAATGTGAGAGGCTATTAGAAGCAAAATGAAAGCACGCCCCCATCTTCGGGCGGTGTGTGGGAGCCCAGGTGTTCTCTCTCCCCAGCATTGCCCCACCGAGCTTCCTGCCTTCTCAGCCAGGGAAGGCTGGGATTGCTGAACACACTTGGCGGATGGTAGGGCTTGTATCCTGTGAGGGAACCTCAGCACCCAGGACCCTGGTACCTCAGTGTGGGGAACAGCCTCTGGGCCCCATGTCCCCTGGCCCAGGCCCAGTTCCTGATACACACCATGGGGGTAAGAGGGGGCAGGGGGCTCCGGAGCCAGCTCTCACCTACCCCTCTGCCCACCTGGCTGGCCCCTAGAGCCCCTCCCCCCAGCCCAACACTGCCCTTGAGTTGATTTCAGATCCCAGTTTCTAGAGAAAGGCGGGCTGCACTCTATCCAGGCTTCCTCCCTCCCTCCTCCTCTCTCAAGTAAAATCTCCTTCTGTACCACTCAGTGATTACACAGGCTGCAGGGCAATTCTCTGCCTCCCTACCCTCTCCTGGAAGTGGGATCCAAAACCCAGAGAATGTCAAAGGCTGGCGGAGGCAGCCTGCCTCCTGGAACCTGACCCCTTCCCCCTCCAATCTGGTCTTTGGAGAAGGTGGGTTCTGCCAGGAGCTCGGGCTCAGCTGCCCAGACCCACTCTGACCCTGAAGCTGCCGTTACTACAGCCGGCCTCCCGACAAGCTCCTGTGCTCCGAAGGTCTGGGCTTTTATTTCTCGCATCTCCTGGGAGGAAGGACTGTGGGGGTCAGGGAGGAGTGAGTGAGCCAGTCTCTGGGTTCTGCCTCAACCTTCTAGGGGACCTGGAATCAAGATCCTGGCTTATCTGAACCCCAAGCAGAGTGAGACCTTTGTCCAGTAGCATCGAGGGGCCCGAGAAGCCCCTGCCCAGGGCCCTGGGGACTCGGGCCCACACCCCGCCCAGCTGGTGCCCCCCAGGTGGGAGAGGGGCAGCTGCTCTTACATCCGTAGCCAGCCCTACCCTGGCCTCCTAGAAGGCCTGCAGTCACCAGGCAGGCTCACCGAGTAGGATGCCAGGGAGCACTCGAGAGGCACATGCTCTCCTCTCCAGCCGGGCAGCCCAGGGTCCTGCAGAAGGACGTCCAAAGGGGCGCCTGGGTGGCTCAGTTGGTTAAGCGACTGCCTTCGGCTCAGGTCATGATCCTGGAGTCCCGGGATCGAGTCCCACATCGGGTTCCCTGCTCAGCGGGGAGTCTGCTTCTCCCTCTGACCCTCTTCCCTCTCGTGCTCTCTCTCATTCTCTCTCTCTCTCTCTCAAATAAATAAATAAATAAATAAAAATCTAAAAAAAAAAAAAAAAGAAGGACGTCCAAAGGCTCCGATGTCCCCCTGCAGGACCGCCCCAGCTGCCTTGGCAAGTCACCTTGCCAGGGATCTGGAGTGGGCTCCTGGAATGGGGGCTCAGGTCGTGGGTGGTGACTGCAGTGTCCCAGCCGGCCGGGACTGTGGGTCCACAGTGGAAGGCTGGGCCCTGCAGGCATCTTCCTGGCTTCTCCCCAAAGAAGAGGAGCCCGGTCAGGCCCCTCCCCCAAGCTGGGCCAGCTCCAGACAAAAGGTAAACGTGTGGCAGGCCCCAGCTGTCAGCTTCAGCCTGCCTCAACTTGGAGAACAATGATCCCAGCAACAGGCCCTGCTGAAGGCCCACTGTGTGCCAGGGTTGTCACTGTGTCTTCACACGTGCCATCTTATTGTAGCCCCACAGCAATTGCTTTTATTTCCAGACTATGGGGGAAAGGGTGCGTTGTGTGGCCAGTGTCACAGAGCTATGGGGGGCAAGCTCCAGAGCCTGGGCCGTGTGCGGGGCGCCGCCCCTACCTGCCCCACTGGGCACCTGGCGCGCAGAGCAGGAGCCCCGGCTGCTCCGCAATGTAACCTGGTCTTTTTAACCCCTGCATCAGAGGCATGGAGCCTCATTCTCTTCCGGTACAAGCATCCTTCACCCTAGGCCCATCCACAGCCTTCCTAAGGTCCTGCAAGCTCCTGACATTGCCCTCAACATTTCGTAGATTTGTGCATTTCTCTGGAGAATGTAGACTTGGACTTTCATTAGATTCCTGGAGGAATATGCGACCTAAAAAAGGTTAGGAGTCCATATGGTTCTAGAAGGAAGAGGTCTGAAATTGATCCGACATGGACTGGCCATGCCTACCACCCTCGGTCTGCCTGTCATGGCCACACCAGGGCTCCCCGTCCCCTGGAATTCTGCCCCTGCCCCGGTCCTGGCCGGCAGTGGGGTTGAGAAGGCTCACGAAGGCTCTCTGCGCCAAGTCACCACCACCCCACCCCACCCGCCCCCAGCTCCCAGTCTTCATGATATCCAACTCCTCTTGGGGCAAAACATCACTTTTATTTTCACTTGAAGCGCCTGAGTCACATCTCAACTCCATTTCACTGCACCCTGTGACGCAGTCCTCCCGGCACCAAGCCTTGGTCATCCCCTGAAGGGCAGCTCCTAGCTAATGGGGGAATCCTGGCATTCCAGGGGGGCACAGGAACCCCGCCGAGCAGGGGCCCATCACACTTTAGCAGACAGGGTCAGTCCTCTGGAGCGGCCTCGTGCCTGCTGCCCACCCAGCATAGAAACACACTCAGAAACACAGGAAGTCTGCAGACAAGAGTGACCACACACCTGCACGTGGGTGTATGTCTGTACAAGGGACCTGGTGTGTACCTGTGAGCGTCAGGATAGCCTGGTATGTGAGTGTGTGTGTGTGTGTGTGTGCAGGCAACCTACTTGTACACAGCCACAGGCCCACCTCCCACACATATGCAGACACCAGCATGAGCTCACACATGCCTTCAACACCCACACTCCCACCCGAGCCTTTGGCCCAGGCCTCACACGCATGCACATAAACCTTCCCGTGTGCATGCCTCCCCATCCTCATGCAAATGTGCATGTCCGGACCTCATAGGGATACCACCGTGCCCAAGTCCCACACATGCACGCTTACACAGACATATATTTGCACAGACCCAGACCTCACACACATCCTCCTGCTGATGTGCACACAGCTCTGACCTGCCATACATGTGCACACACAGTGACGCACATTCACACTTGCACTCCCATGCAAACCGGCCAATGGGACCCCGTGGGCCCCTTGCACACATCCACGCTTGCAGGCCTTCCACATGAGGCACACACCGGCACCTCCTCCTGGTGCACACATGTGAACACTTGCATACTCTCTCAGAGCATACAAGTGTACCCCGGAGTCAGCCCTTACACAGCACCCATCAAAATGCACCTTTGTATGTGTACATCCGGACCTCACACTGGCACGTACCTGCTACCAGGGCCCTTCTCCCCTGCACTCCTGCTGCCCTAGCAATGGCCACCCTGGGCAGGGGAGCTGCTTTTCCCAAGGGCCGAGCTCTGCCTCCAAACTGTACCCCTCCCCTGAGCCATCCCCGGAGCCTCCCCAGACCTAGCTGGGGGTCTCCAGTGCGCTTCCTGACACTCCACGACGCTAAGGGGCTATCTTCTCCCCCACCGTCTCACCCTTCTCCCCACACCGGTCGTCAGGGGCATAAAATGAGCTCTGGGGCCAGACAACTTTGCCAAGGGACCAGAGCTGGTATAGCACTAGCCCCTGAAATGGTAGTGTTCCCCCCAACTTGCCTGAGCGCCCCCCCGTCTCTCCACACCCAGGGAGCCCCAGCAGTCCCTCAGTTATTCAGCCCTGCTGTACTGATGCCCTCCCTCCAAGAGGAGCTGGGAGGAGGGAGGGGATGAGGGAGGGCATGTGCTTTCACGGAGAAGTTGGCCACTCTGCACAGTCGCCGGTGGTGCCTAAAGTCAGGAGAGACTACCTGGGAGATGGTGAACTCTCTCCCATCAGAGGTGTCCAAGTTGAGGCCAGATGAACACCTCAAGAGAAAGTCGGCAGGGGGTTCTGGCTTTGGACTCGGCTGCCTGGGAAGATCCCTTTTTAACCCTGAGTTTCTAAAAATCTGTGTGTGCCCAGTCATGTGCAATCGGGTGTGTGTGTGTGTGTGTGTGTGTGTGTTCCTGCACACTGGCATGCACCACCAACCCTTCACCCCTACACACACTCACCCGGCTGACTGTGGCACATCTGTGCACACATAAACATGCCTACACCCAGCTCTGGGCACTCGGCACAGGCAAGTATCCCCCCAAACATGCAGACTTCCTCCCTGTGTGTGTGCACAGGAAGCACACAGGTGCACACCCCCTGCCCGTGACGCTGACCCCCTGCACCCTCCAGAACTCTCTGAGGTGCAACTCACTTTCCCAGTTCCTCAAAGAGCTGGTACTCTTCCGTGAAGCGGGTGCAGGTGATGGTGGCCATCCTGGCGCTGGGCGGGCAGGCGAGGCGTGGGGCTGGAGGACCAGACCTGGGGCTCTGCTACTCTGCTCCTGGAACTAGGGGCCACTCGCGGGCCTGTGCTGCCGAATGTGAACCGAGAACCAGCTTGACTGACGAGCCCGGGGCTTCTGAGCAGGGCACTGTGGCTGCTCACAGCCTCGCGAGCCTTCGTCAGCATCCAGGTCCCCATGGCAACCACCTCCGAAACGCCCTGTTCCCGTTGCCCGGGTAACTGCCCCCCCAACACCTGCCTGCCTTCCACTGCGAAACCTGCTCCGGGACGCCCTGGACCTAACCACACACAATACTGCAGGCCTGTGTGGGCCCAGGGGCGGGTGGACATGGCACCCCCGGGGTGATGCACTGACAGAGGGGTCTGGGGAGGGGGAGAAGAACAAACTTAATCCACAAGTGATCTTCTCTCTTCCCACCTCCCCCACCTCCAACAGTGGGTCCCTTGTAGCAAACAGGATGGGATTAAGTGGGGCAAAAAGGCAGTTGCCATGGTAACGGCCAGTGGGTGCCACATTCTGGGATGGTCCCCAGGAAAGACAGGATGCAGTTACCCTGGCAACTTCATCTCCTCTGGAGAGACAGGTATTGCCCCGTTGCCCTGGCAACAGCAGGGTTCTAAGGTTTACAGGAAGCGATGGGCTAATTCATTGGGATCTCTCTCCCAGTGGATCACTGTAGTCTGTAACTGTCTCTCTGCTCCCCTCTGTATTTCGTTTCTGCCTCTGCCTCTGTCTTCCTCATTCTCTGTCACCTTGTCCATCCCACTGGCGCTCTAGCTTGAGGGACAAGTGCAGAGGAGACATCGGGATTCTGGAGAGAATGGCCCTGCCTGCCTGCTCACCCCCACCCCTCTCCTCCATCCCGTGCCCCCAGAGGGACCAGGGAGATCTGGTCTCCTGGGGCTCATGTCCCAGTTTCTGCTTGTGCTTCAAGTCAAGGTGAAAGAGGCGGAGGCGGCAGTGGGGAGGGAAGCATGGCCTGGCATGGAGGGGAGTGGCCATGGGCCTGCCCTGAAATCCTCATTCCCTCTTCCTCATTCCCATTTTCCCCGCCAAGTTCAACTCTTCAGGGCAGCAGCCAGATCCATGGCCCCAAGATCTCACCCAAGCCCTGGGTGGCGGTGGGGGGGGGGGGGGGTTCGGAAGGAAAAGGGCTGGAGTTTAAAGATCTGAGTTCAACTCCAGCTCTGACGTTCATGAGCTGTGTGACCCTGGGAAAGTCACTGCCCTTCTCTGAGCCTCCAGCACCCTTTCTGCAAAACAGAACAAAGCTGCCACTGCAGAGGAAGGCTGTGAAGAAGGAGTGGGCTAAGGGCTGTGGAAGCCTTTGGGAAGTATGTAAACATGAGGCCTCTTTTTAGTTTCTGGAAGAGGAAAAGGAAGGTCTAAAGCGGGACCATGGCCACCCCCATCACTCTAGCTTGGACTCAGAATTTCACACCCACCTCCTCCACTCAAGCTCATTTCACAGCCCACCAGGCTGAGGTCTCACGCCAGTATTTGCCCACGAGGAGCCCAGGTGGGACCAAAGGATCCAGGATCCCAACCTTCTGAGGTGCTAACCCACCCCTCTGAACCTTTCAATTGCCTTGCTGGTCACCTCACTTGCTGGACATATTGTCGGCTTGTTGGTAATCCCGAACCCTAGCAGGTCCCTGACTCACTGCCTTGGGCCCAGGGGCCCCTGGAGACATCTGGGTACCCTCTCCCACAATTCAGCCTCTCTTCCTGGGCATCAGGGGTAACAGAATGATGGGGTTGGCTCTCCAATGCAGGATGCAGCCACTTCTTCCCAGGAAAGAAACAGGAGGGAGGCCAAGGGGAAGGAGGGGAGGCGAGCTAGGGAGGAGGGGTAATGGTTTAGCCACTAATTGCACCATTACCACCTTCAGAAAAAGGAAAAACCACTCCGTTTTGTTTCTGCGCACAATATGCTTCCCGCTCCTGCTGCCAACGTTGCAATTCAGAGACAGAGAAGAGAGGCCTTTGCTCGGGGGCTGCACAGCTGGTGGGAGCGGGCTGGGCATGGAAAGCGGAAAGCCACCAGAGGCGAGAGGCAGATGCGGGAAAGTGGGGGAAAGACTGCACGGCCACCTCCCCGCCCAGACCCTCTAGCCCTTCCCAGGAGATGGCGTCCACTCGTGAAGGCGCTGCCACAGCCCTTAGTGACCACTGAGGACACCTCAGTCACTGTCCAGGGGAGAGGGGAAGGACTCCACCGTCTATGGGCTGTGTGATTTTGGATGAGGAGCCTTACTTCTCTGTGCCTCAGTTTCTTCATCTGCAAAATAGAGTTACTAATATTCCCTGCCTCCAGGGCTGTTTAAGGATGAAATGAGACGAGCAGGTGAGCACAGCACAGCAGCTGACATACTGTGAGCGCTCAGAGATGGGAAATTATTACTAGTAAGAGACTCAGAAGCCTTCCCTCCTCACACTGCTCTGTCTGAATCCTGGAAGCACGCACCACCATCCTCGCTCCTAGCACTTTGGTGCCGGTGCTGTTCCCTGAGTCCCCACTGGAGCTGAGCTCCTGGTTTGAGCGTCACCTGGTCCCAGCCTGGGTGGCAGCAATGCCTGTAGAACAAAGGACTGGGGCGGGGGGGCGCCTGGGTGGCTCAGGCGTTAAGCATCTGCCTTCAGCTCAGGTCAGGCTCAGGTCATGGTCCCGGGGTCCTGGGATCGAGCCCCGCATCGGGCTCCCTGCTCCATGGGAAGCCTGCTTCTCCCTCTCCCACTGCCCCCTGCTTGTGTTCCCTCTCTTGCTGTGTGTCTCTGTCAAATAAATAAATAAAATCTTAAAAAAAAAAAAAAAAAAGGACTGGGGCTAGGAGGAGAGGGCTCACAGGACCCCTAGCTCACTTAAAGGGGCTTTAGAAATTAACACATAAAACAAAGGACAAAATATGCCCCGAGGCTGTATGAATGACAGTTTGAAGTTCTGAACTAAGGAGGTGAAAGTCCTACCCTGCTGGGAGCTGGCCTGACCACCCTGCTCTGGCTTGGCTGGCCCCAGCCCCAGCCCCCACTGGTGAAGAGAAGCACGTAGAAAGCAGAGCACCTGGTGGGAGGGCGGGAGACCATGCCCTCAGGTCACTGGAAGAGCTAGAGGGACAGAGAGGGACAGAGGCTGATGGCCAGCTCTCTCCCTGTCTCTGACAGCGGCCATCGAGGTGGCCTATGCGGCTTCAGGGAGCAAGGGCAACCTGGCCCCGTACCACTCCGTTCTGCCACCACCCCAGGCTGTCTTCCTCCCCACTCTGCCTCCTCCTTCAGCCCCCCCTTCCCTTCTTGTTCTCTTTCCCACCTCTCCCCGCTTTCCTCCTTCCCTTGAGCGCTTTCTTCTCCATCCTCCCTACCCTTCTGGTGCCTTTTCACCTCCTTTCTTATTTCTGCCTCTCTCCCTCCCTGGCCCAGACCCCGTGCACGGGGGTGGGACACGACACGCAGGACCCGGTGCCAGAGAGATGGCTGGAGAGTAGGGAGAAGACCTAAAGGTCTCCTTGGCAACTCTCTCTTATGCATACACCCGCTTGGAACCTTTGAGAGCTTAGCTCAGGGGGGTGGGCCCTGCCTCGGACAGCGCCCCCATCCTGAATGTGACCACAGCCCCGCACGACAGCTCGCTCACTGCCTCCCCAGCTGTGCCTGGTGGCGGCTGGCAGTGGGGAGCCACGCCTGCCTCTGGGACTTGGACAGAATGAGCCCATGATTGCACGGGGGGACTGTTCCTGACAGATGGGTGTCGGGGGGCATCAGAGCCCTGGGTAGCCCTGTGCCAGCCCACTCACATCTCACCTTGCACAGCCCACATGCACACATTCACATGCACATGCCTGAGCACCTCAGGGTCCTGCAGGGCCTTGGCAGGTACCACAGAAAACGTGCCATCGGAAGGGTCCCCACGAGGCCTGTCCCACTAAGGGCAGTGAGCATGGGGGGCAGAATCGGTGGAAAGTGGGCCAAGAGAGAAATGATCCTGCAGAGGGTCTAGGTGGAGGGTGATTTGGTTAATTAATGGCAGTAAGTAACGCCAGGCTTACGCTTGGGAGAGAAGTCAGGGGTCAGGGAGCAGCACTGTCCCCTGAGGGGTCCCACGTAGGAGGCACTGCTTGCAGAGCAGAAGGAAGCCGGGAGCCAGGTGACAGAGGACCGTGGCTGCTGGGCCGACGTCAGCACAGCACAGCCTGCAGTTAGAGGACCCAAGTTCAAGTCCAGCTGTTGGTTAGGAGTGTTTATGTCAGGTCTTTTCCTCACTGGGGCCTCCACTTCCTCCTAAGAAATATGGGGACAAGATGTTCCTTCACTGACTCCAAAAATATGAAAAATAGTTATTTCTGCTTTAGAGCCAGGCCCCGTGCTAAGCATACTGCACAATTTATACCTTACAACACATACAACACAATGATGGGTTCAGTCATTGCCTATTTTGCAGAGATGTGACAGGACTTACCCATGTAGGGTCTGGGTGACTTCTGTACCTCCCGCCTTATGTTCTCTGGCCTGCATAAGGGCTGGAAGGACCCTGACAGAGCCCATGCCCCGTACAGATAGAGACCAAGGCCCAGAGAGAGGAAGCTGCTCTCCCTCAGTAGAAGTCAGGGGCAGAGTCAGGACATAGTCCAGAATTCCTGATTCCCCAAACAGTGCTCCTTCCCTTACCCTGCTCTGCCCACTCTCTTTCTGGCACTGTAGGGCTGCTTGCCTAAGTCCCAAGGGAGCCAGTAGGTACCAAGTGAAAGGAAGAAACACTGCCAAGGCCCAGGGTGGGGCTCAGAGCCCTGCCCCTCCAGCCAGGTCCGGGGCTCCCTCCTGGTTCCTGGGGGACTGGTCATGCTTGCCCAAGGCTCCACAGGCAGGGCCCAGCTCGGATAGGGCCACCCTGGCTCTACCCTGGCTGGCTGGCAGATCTGCTGCCATCTGATTCAGCCAAGGGGGAAACCGAGGGTCTGTCTGGCATCTCTAGGCTCCACTCCCTCAGATCTGTGACCCAAGGGGCCAGAGCTGCCTCTGGCCTGCCCTCCCCCTTACCCCTCCCCACCTCAGGTGGTATAAACATATACCAGCAATAC